CTTATTTACAGTCGAGGTGGTTTCTTCATAACTTGAAAGATTCCCACCCACCCACCCACCCACCCACCCACCCACCCACCCACCCACCCACCCACCCACCCACCCACCCACCCACCCCATCCCATAACATTGGAGAATAGAAATTTTCGTATCATCCAGAGATATGGTATTATATGTTCGTTACACAAATCCTTTGTGCTACACACAATCGGCCACCAAAGCTCAACGGCTTACGTATACTCTATCGGTTACAGCTTACAGAAACCTGTTCACAACCATCATAGCTGCAGACTCTGGAGCACGACGCCGCATCAGAAGACAGCGATTTGCTGTCAGTGACCTACCAATCTGGTGAGCTATCGTCCTTCAGAACAAGAGCCCGCAACACAGGTAGTGCAAGCCACCATACCTTCTCTGTGTTTATGAGTTGAAATTCATGACTAATTTGAAACTAGATCCAACGGAAACTGCAGTTTCGTACGATGTCAGAGCAGCCGCAAACCGCTTTCCAGATACCCAGTAAATACACAAACCTCTCGGAGTGGGGCAAGGCTCCAAGGTTAGAAGTATGCTTTCTAGGGACCCCTAAAGGTACATNNCAGGGTTAAGGGCCCATACTCGGGGCCCATGGTTTCAGCCTTAGAAAGGCAGACCCCGAAGATGCTACGAACTATGTTTGGTGGCCTTGAAGCGAAGATAAAAACTGAGGCTTAAATCCTAAACGCGAACTAAGCCAAACCCTAGCCCTTAACTCGAAGCCCCGAAGCCCTAAACCCAAAACCCTTAGCCCCCAAACCCTAAACCCTAAACCCTAGGCCCCAAAACCCCAAACCCTTAGCCCCCAAACCCTAAACCCTAAGCCCCCAAACCCCAAACCCTAAACCCTCGGCCCCTAAGCCCCTATAGCCCCTAAGAAAACTCCAGGGGGCACCTCAGCCGTCTCCAGAGCCAGGAGAAGCCCGGCCTGAAAGGTGAACAACAAAACCAAGGATCCTCCTAGGGTTTAGGGATTTAGGGTTTCGGGTTTAGAGATTTAGGGTTTAGGGTTTAGAGGTTTAGGGTTTAGGGTTTACGGATTTAAAGTTTAAGTTTTTGGCTAATGCAGGGGCCAAATAGTTACCAATACTATGTTTTTTGGGGTTCCTTATCATAATTATAGTATAATGGGCCCCGAAACCCTCTTCTAATCATTAAGTAACACTCTTATAGTAGAGTTTTCCGGGTGGGTTGGGGCTTAGGGTTTCGGAATTGGGCTTTAGGATTTTAGGGATTTAGGGTTTAAGTCTTTGGGGCTCATAATAAGGGTAAAGTTTAGGGCCGTTTAAGGTTCAAGGGTGAAGGGCTTGGGTTTTAAGGGTTACTGTAAGTGTTATCTTTACAGGGTTCTTCATTGTTTCATGGGAGCAACGCTGCTTCTGCACAAGAAACCCTAAACTCAAAATCTTAAACCCTAAACCGACCATCAGACACAAGTGGCATCGGGTTTTCTAGGTTTCGGAGGGTTTCGTAGGGCTTCTTTAGGGCTTCGGGTTTTGTAGGGCATAGCCATATATTAAGTAAGCTTACTATGACTACCGTCATGGGCGATGTCAGTGTTACACATCTTTTTGCCAGTATGCTGTTTGCAAGCTTGCTCATAACAGTTGGAGGCTGCGGCTAAACATCGGTCTACATTGCAAGGAAATGCCTTAGAATAACGGGCAAACGGTCACTAGACACTAATATCATGTAGTTGTGCCAGACTTTCACCTGGCTCTTCAGGAGTAGAGGACCTGAGGATGCTGTGGTGAAGAACACAAAGCCGGACATGTGCAAAAGCGCTGCCTTGAGGCAACTTGGGGACAAGGGCTCCTGGTGGCTGGCTGAAGGAAGTCCGCACATGCGATTCACCGAGCGGTGGACCGACTGACGCGTCCTCCGTGACTTCAAAGGCCTTGAGGACAACCCCCAAACCTTCAAGACTCAGTCACGTACTGCAACCTGCGCCTGATTTTGCGGCCGAAGAAGTTTGCGGCCGAGATTTGCACTTGCTGTCGCCACCTTGGCCGTTGTGTCATTGTGGCGCCAGCTGGCATCGATCTCCGCCAGTCTATAGATATCACTGCCTGACAAGGACCCGCAACGCTCAACCCCCAAAATGCAACCCAAATGGTAAAATCAACCCACGAACCTGAGCCCGGAATCCGCGGGAGCTCGCGCATGGACTGACGTGACGACCTCTGGATTCCGGTCCCCGCCAACTTGAGACGAGCTTCAGGAGCCTCCTTTGCGCCGTCACAAACCTCCAAACCCCTAAGCACCCAAACCAGTTCTTCAAGGCTCAGTGAGGGAGAACGGAACTCGAATGTAGCAGTTGACCCTAAACCCTAAACCCCTAACCCCTAAACCCCTAAACCCTAAACCCTAACCCCTAAACCCCTAAAACCCTAAAACCCTAAACCCGGTTGACAGGCTCTGCTTGAAGTCTACCGGCCCGCAAGGGCGCCAGGTCACACAGTCCGTCCTCCCCTGCTGAGATAAAACCCAAACCCTAACCCTCCAGGTACCTACTATATAGGGGTTAGGGTTAGGGTTAGGGAGGGCCCTCGGGGCTCTAGTACCCTCTATAGTAGGTACCTAGAGGGTTTGGGAAACCCATAATCCCCAGACACGAACGTCAAACAACAACCCAGGACAACCCAAAAAAAGCCTAAACACCTGGAGCTAACCCTAAGCCCTAAACCCTAAACCCTAAACCCCTAAAACCCTAAACCCTAACCCTAAGCCTGAGCCTACAGCCTTAGGCCTGAGACTTCAAAGACCTCACCAAATCCGCGAAGCCACAACTGCTTGTACAGCCTGAACCCTAAAGCCTCCGCCCATACGCCCGAACTCCTAAACCCCCCAACCCTCAACCCTAAACCCTAAACCCCTAAACCCTAAAGCCCTAAACCCTAAAACCCTAAAACCCTGAAGCCCTAAAACCCTAAACACCTAAACCCTAAAACCCTACAGCGGAGCCTCCTGGCCCCTAGGGGCCGAAGCTGCCAACTCTACCGGGGCGAAGAAGACCATGTCGAGTCCTCGATTTTTGGTTCCCTGTTGGGTTTAGGATTTAGGGCCATTTAGGGTTTAGGGTTTAGGGGTCCTCGATGTTTGGTTCCCTGTTGGGTTTAGGATTTAGGGTTTAGGGTTTAAGTTTAGGGGTCCTCGATTTGGGGTTCCCTGTTGGGGGCTATATTACAAAATGGGCATGTTTTGTTCTTCTTGAGTTGTCTTATAACAAAAATGTAAAGTTGTATCCAACAAGGACCCAGCATTTTTGTAGGAGCCTTACGAGCTACAACAGCGGCTTCATGGCTATTTAGTGTAAGTTAGAGTATAGTTCTGTAGGGACCATGAGGGAATAAGACAAACTAGATACATGACATAGGCTTCTGCAGCATATTTTGCAAACTTTTGTAGGATCTTCTAGGCACTTGTAGGTGTTCTATAAACAGGTTGGGTTCGGGGGTTGGGTTCGGGGAGTAGAACCCCTGAACCCTGAATCTCGATCCGACGTCCTATCTAACGCTTACAGCCCTAAAGCCCATGGTGTCTGGGGGTTTAGGGCTGAGGTTTGGGGGTCTGGGGTTTTGGGGTTTTGGGATTTGGGGTCCAGGGCAGGGTGCAACCCTTGTAGCTGCTGTAGCCCCAAACCGTACAGCATAATAGGCCATGACCCCATATATACTCCCAAAGTCTTGAAACCGTAGGTAATCGGAGCTTCTGGCAGGGACTTTCATTAACCTGGGCGTTATTCGCCAATTTCTGGGATGTAGAGTTGAGGCCTGTCGGGTGACCTCCTACTGGAGCTCAAAACTTCGATTCAACCCTGGCCAGACTTGAAAGACCAGAGGCCATTAGTTATGCAAGGCTTGTATCACTACTTGCAATGCTGTATCTACACAGTCTCATGAGGGACCCCAGACAGTGAGGTCTTTATTCTAAGGAGACCCAAAACCAAAGCCCCTCCTTCCACTTTGGCGATGTCGCGCACATTCGCCAACCCCGTCTCAGTTTCGACCTCCCGGATTTGGATTGACAGGTGAAGTGAATACTGAAACCAGCTATTCAAATCCGGGAACCACCTTCAAAAGCCCAGAGACTGGGTTGAAACAAATCCGCAGCCTGGACGGCTTTCATCAGCAGATCTTCGCCGCGGCGACGCAGGAATTGGCTTGCCTGGCGGTGGAATGCAGGCGCAGCTACATAGACCCTGAGCTTTAAGTTGTAAGTCCCTTTGAGGACCGCCTGTAGGCTTTCGGTTCGTTTCCTGTGATAATGTGTTTGGTATCCCAGGACACAGCATTGGTCAGTCCAGGTGTGCTTCACCTTGCAGTCCTACTGTAGGGGTCTGAAGCATTGGCAAGACAATCCCAATAGTCTTCATACAACTGCTTGCTGTACTCTCTAGTCTACTCGATTTCACATACCAACCGCATAGTCGAGCTGTTTCTTGGCCAAGTAGAGCTTCTTCAGGAGCCGACTCACGGCATGTTTGATGTCATTAGGGCCCCCAATACATGGCATAGGCCTTTGTAGGCTTTTGTCACGGGATCTATGAGATGTTCTAGTACTGTAGGACATAGCGTGGCGCCTTGTACAGTTTGACCATGGTTTTGCGGGCTTCTATTACTACAAACGTCCAAAGGGAACCCGCCGAAACTGCTGGAGCTTGCCTTTTCACCCTAAACCCTACAACTCTATAACAGTAAATCCCAAACCCTGAACTCTATGCATCTGAGCCCGAAAATGAACTCACGATGCCTTTGCAAGCCCTATCACACCGGGAACCTGGGCCGACTACCCCCAGCCTTGAGTTTGGCAGGTGTTCGTCTGTAACATATACATGTTTTATATAGATGCAAAAATGTAAACGCATGGAGTTGATGTCTATATATGTGTGTATATATATATATACACATGTTGTTTATGTATGTGTTGTTGTCTGTTATCCATTAGCCATGTGTCTATATCTATATATATATATATACATATACATCTATCTGTTTATTTATTTAAGCAAGAATAGAGCGAGAGAGAGAGAGAGAGAGCGAGAGACAAAGACAGAAAAGGATGCAGAGGCAGAGACAGAGGCAGAGAGACAGAGAGACAGAGAGAGAGAGAGAGAGAGGGAGGGAGAGAGAGAGAGAGGGAGCGAGAGTGAGAGCGAGTGAGGGAGGGAGGGAGGCAGGTGGATCTGAAGCAAGCGAGGGAGGGAGAGAGCCGGAGAGAGAGAGAGAGAGAGGGAGACTGAGACAGAGAGAGAGAGCGGGAGAGAGAAAGAAAGACAGCTGCAGATGTGGAGAACCTACCCAAAGGCTTTGATCTGCTTCTACAACTTATGAAAATCTCCTCAAAACCCAATTCGGCCGGTGCGATGTGAGGGCCTTCCGAGGAAGCTCAGGCTCCTTTCGGACTGAGGACCCTACCATTTCGCACCACAATATGTTCGGGTCCTCTATGTTCTGAAACTTCGAAACCATGCCCTAATAATAACTTCATATAACTTCCAACTCCAAAGCCAGAATCACAAAGTGTGAAGTCACACCCGCAAGAAAAAAGGGCAAACCGTGCGGCCACGCTGCCACGGGTGCCGCGCTGCGCACTGCTGCGGCACCCGGACCACCTGGTTCTGCTTATTATCTTCTTGCACGACGAGGGCCAAGCAGCCTAAGTAAGGGTTCGAAGGAAGCAGAACAGACCCCTGGAATTGAACCTCTGCAAACTAGATTAAGTTCCACGCTGATTGATCGAAACTGCCTAAACCTAGGAGCTTTGCCCGATACGTTATGCACGACCACGTTGCGAATACAGCTTGGAGCTACGATGGATCCTAACCATAAACCCTAACTAAACCCTAAACCCGAAATAAACCCTAAATAAACCCTAAACCCCTAAACCCCTAAACCCCCTAAACCCTAAACCCGAGTTACGATAGATCCTACACCCGGTCATGGAACCTAAAGATTCTGTGTAATATAAGGGCCTTAATAATTAGAATCGGGTTTTGGGGGGTTCCTTTTTAAAGGCTCCTTCAAGGGTTCTATATGGGCTGCTACAACGGTTTAGGGTTTTGGGGCCTGAAGGGTATATTATAGTGTGATTAGAATAAGGAGCCCCAAAAAAGCGTAGGTGATTCTTAAGGCCCCTACATTAGGGTTCAGCCCCGAGTATCCCGTTGGGATGTAGGATTTGAGCAATGCAGACACCGTGACGATGTCGCTTGAGGAGTTGTTGGCCATTAACGAAGGGGCCTTAACAATTAGAATAGGGTTTTGGGGTATATTATACTACAATCATAACAACGAGCCCCCAATACAGTATCGGCAAAGCCACTACATTCTATACTTGGACCCTAAATGTAGGGGTTAGGACTTGCAGGGTTTGAGGGAGGGTTGGACATGATAAAATGCTATCGTCCGAAGCTCTTCCACTTCGATACCACACTCCCGAAACTATGTGAAAACAAGCCCTCCAAGCCCTTTACGCCGGTCTAGGAAATTAAGCTTTTCTCCTCTGGGTCCAAGTTGTCCTTATTTATGGTTTTAGGTACCCAAAACGGCCCCAAAGTCCGTAAAATAATGGGCACTTGGACCCTTCGGCTTCAATGTAACCTCTTTAAGCATTAGGAAATTTCGCTTCGGCTCTGCCCGTCAGCCGGAAAGCAAAGTCCGAAAGCCCATGCAACCCGAGGACGGGTTTAGGGGTTGGTGTAGGGGCCTTACTTGTTAGAATAGGGTTTTGGTGTCCTTTCTAGTATATTTATATTAATGAGCCCCCAAAACAGTGTAAAGCATAATTGAAGCCAAAAAATAAAGGGCACAAGATTTTATAGAGAAACCTTGCGCACCCCCTAGAGAACCACGCGGAATCACCTTGATAAGGGCTGAGGTTCAGGGTTTATGCGGTATAGGGTTTAGAGTTCAGGGATTTAACATTGCATGGGGTTAACAAGTTAAATAAAGAATTGAGGTCGCGACACAGAAGCTTTTACGGATGCTTTCGGGCTTCATATGGCTCTTACTTGTTTGTGCGGTCCTAGCAGTAAGTATCCTGTGCTTGGGGTACGTACTAGAGTGTTCCTCTTAGTATAGTATGAAGCATATTGTACTTTATTCCCTTCCGAAAGGTTTTATTCTAAACCTTGACCTAACCAGTTTTGGTGACCGCACGAAAACAGTAGGTTGTGGCCCCTAAACCCTACACCGCAAATGGCCCTTGCGGTAATTCTTATTAGAACCCTGTTATGGTCGGCTTATGAATCCTGAAGACCTCAACCCTAAACCACCAAACTCCCCAAACCCCTAAACCTTAAATCCTAATTCCCAAACCCTAGACCCTAAACCCTTGACCCCTCTTGAACAACCCCTGCAAGCCCGAATCGCTGCCTGAGCCTCTCAGCGAAGACCTCGGCTGCTTCGCAGAGCCAGAACCAGGGTACTGTAGGGGCTTGAATAAGTGTTCAACAGGGTTTTTGGGGTTTAGGGTTTAGGGGTACGTACTATAGTGGCCTTTATAATTAGAACAGGAGTTTGGGGTTTAGGGTTTAGGGGTACTATAGGGGCCTGAATAATTGCAACAGGGTGTTGGGGTATATTATATAGTATCATTATAAAAAGGAGCCCGAAGGCATAACATTCGTATTTACAGAATTAAAGAACCCTAAAGCCCACTCGGAGTTTTGGGATTTACGTTTTGAGCTTGGGGTTGAGGGCGTAGCCTGATGGTATAGGGTTTAATTCTCCTAGAAGGTTCCAATTATATAATTAGGTCCCTGCCTTGCTGTCTCAGAGCTGTGAGTAGTGCTACACCCTAAACCCTAAACCCCTAAACCCCTGAACCCTAAACCCTAACGTCTAAGCCCCCAACTCCTTCACGTTAATGTGCCGTTCCAGCCAGAACTCTGTCTGCTTACCATACCCTAACCCTCCAGGTACCTGCTATATAGGGCCCTATAGGGGCTCTAGTACCCTCTATAGTAGGTACCTAGAGGGTTAGGGATAAGCTCTTCAGTTTTGCTCGAAGAAAAACTTGAAACCGTGGCGTACTCAGACCCAAAGGCCCTAGGGCCGCATTAAACACAAGGGGTCATGTACTCAACTGCTTTTTGGGGGCTTTTGCAGTTAGGGGTCGCGTGAATAACAGGCCCCTACTAGTTAGGGCTTGTAGTACGGGTCTTCCAGTTTTCAGCTAGGTACGGATGGCGATGGCACTAGGTTTAAATATTCAGCATGCCTTGCACACACTTGTAACAAAATGGTCACATCATGCTAATGCTGACACCAAATCCAACTCTCTAAACCCTCAGCACCTCAATCTTGCACGCGAAATCGTAAGGTGCTACAGACTCCCAGATCTAAAGCGGAACCGTGGATTTGAACCTTCAGCCTCGAACCTAATTGCTGAGTCTCCTTGCTCAAATAAAGTTCACCGTCTTATCAGTGTCCCAGCCGCAGCTCACCATGTTAATTGTGGCAGGGTATTAAAAAGTTAAAGGGTTTGCCTAACCAGCCCCTATGCTCATGTTGGGAGCATGTAGTAAGACCAAAAAGCTTGAGGGATGTCTCCTGAGCTATTACAAAAGCCCTCACGTTAATCCTGCTCTCTTAGTCGAAGCCCCCGACATGGCAGGGAAGGATCTGCGCGCCATCGCCACAAACTGGGCTGCCTCGCGGTTCTTCTTAAAACATCATTCAGCGTACTGGTCGGGCCCTGGGGCATTAGGTGTGCTTGAGGTCGGAATACTCCCCATAAGCTGCTGATGCTGTCCGCTCAGCAACCGAAAAGATACAGGTTGCGTTGGATGCCCATCCTGGCTGTAAATGTCTCTGGTCGACTTTCAAGATTCTGAGCCCATGAGTTGAGGGATGCTTTCATGATTGGGCTCAACAATTTGGGGTTCAAGGTCGTATTACTGTCACGACAAAAGCCCTCCACATGACAACACCTCGGACGGGGCTTGCCCAAGATTCCGGATTACCTTTGTTGGCACCTAGTTTTTGATGCAGCACGGTTCCAGGACCTAAACACCAAACCCTGTAGCGGAAAATTAACATAAGGATGCAAGGGGTCCTCTATATGGTTGAAGTCTAAGCGTGAATACGGTTTTGCCTAAACCCTAAACCTACGGGGAATTATGAGATCCTTCATTCAATGATATTTTCAACAGTGTATGGTTACCTGGCCTAATCGAGTGTGTATTTTCGACCCCGGAGGTACTCGCAGCCTCCAGACAGTCCCGGCATTCCTTAAAATCGTAGGCGACACCTCATGTAGTCTAACGAATATATTCCATACTTTCTAGTCCTTAGGAGTCTTAGAGTAGGAGGTTTCGTAGCCCGCCCCAAGCATATTCCGTAGTTGTTCATGGGTTTCAGGGGCTCTTCGTCCTCTCTGTGCAACCCTAAACCCTAAACGCTAAACGCCTGTTCCGCCGTCTCCGTCATGGGCAGGATCAGCCCCTCGAAGCCCAGCTGCAACGCCCGGCGAAGGTATCTGCAGCAGTTTAGGGCTTCAGGGTTTTAGGGGTTTAGGGGTTTAAGGGTTTGGGGTTTAGGGTTTAGGGAGGATTAGGGCAACTTAGGTCGAGGGTTGGGGGAAGTTCTGGGTCCCTGAAACCTGAACCCTAAAGCCCAAACCCTGAAATCTGAACCCTTGACGTAGGGCATGTAGGGCCTGAGTAACTATGCTACAATAATGAAAATGAGGAACCCCCAGAACAGAACTCTAAACCCTAAACCCTGACCCTGAACCCTTATTCTCAAAACCTCGCAGGTTTCAGCGTCTGAATAGGCGGCGCAAGAAAAGTAGGACAATCCTTGGAGGTTCGCTGATACAAGTAAAAGCGGCGCACCGTCTCCGTCAACAGAGAACATCAGACTCTGACTGCGCCGAGTATATGATTCCAGATTGCACTGCAAAGAAGAACCTTTACTAGAGTGGGGATGAGGGCGAAGAAGAACTCTAACTGTTTTAGACGCTCAACAGAGGATGACCTGTGTCATGCATGCCCTTCTTGAGGCCAGCTTAATTATTCAGGATGACGGCCTCAACCACAGTCTCCGAACGTCAGCATTAGGGCTTGCTGTAGGGTTTATGCTGATCCAGCGGCTTCCACTCTTATATATAGTTATACTATGATAATTACCACGACACACAAGAAGTGGCTCCAGTGCCCTTCACAGGCTCGCCAGTTGTAGCCTCGACCAGACGGTTCCAACAGGATTCGCATGTCCGGGACGCCCCACAGAAGCGAGACAAGATGTCTCTAAGCTCCTGCAGCAGCTCTGACACAAAGATCCGTTCATTCATCTCATACAGGCCGTCGGTGATGTGCGACCCTGCAAAGCCTGGGCTTGCCATAGGATGTCATGCATACATTTTCGCTGCGTCTTCTGCCACCGCTTGCTGCGGGCCCTTGAGGCCCAAGCGAAGTGTGCCCTCTTGCATCTCTAAACTCATGTGACAGCGCTCCTTACACACCAACCGCTCAAAGATGCTGAAGTGTGGCTCCACCAGCGACACCTCAAGCCCCCGCAGCCCCAAAGATCCGTCATCCCCAGAGACCTCCAGGTTCGCTTCATTTCAGAGCGGAAAATATTGAGATCAACCTTCACATGATTTGAGGTGTGCTTCTTAACTGCATGATCTGCCTGCCTCAATATATAATGTTACTCTTCCATATGATGCTAACATTCAAATGATGATATGCCTTCGTATGAAGATGCTCCTTACCCTGATGAGAAACATTAACAACGATGATGATAGTCCCTAGTATGAAGACACTCCTTAAAATCATGATGCTCCTGTTAATTTAGGGAACCCTACACCCTAAACGCAAAGCCCTATAAACCCTATAACCCTAAACCCTGAAACCCTAAACCCTGAAACCCTAAACCCTAAAACCCTAAGACCCTAAAACCCTAAACCCTGAAACCCTAAACCCTGAAACCCTAAACCCTAAAACCCTAAGACCCTAAAACCCTAAAACCCAAAACCCTTAAACCCCAAACCCTAAAACCCCAAACCCTAAAACCCCAAAGCCTAAACCCTAAACCCTAAAATCTTAAAACCCCAAATCCTCAACTTTAGAGTCGTCGAGTCCCTGACCGCACCCCGACGGTACCGGGCTCCGGGCCCCGGATCGTCGCTGGGAACCTGAGCCCCAGCTTTTAGGGTTTAGGGTTTAGGGTTTAGGGTTTAGGGTTTAGGGTTCCAAACACAACACCTCTGAAGGCCTGGGGTTAAGGAGTTTAGGGGCTTTAAGGGATTTAGGGTTTAGGAGATTTAGGGGTTTAGGGGTTTAGGGGCTTTAAGGGAATTAGGGTCTAGGGTTTAGGGCTTTAGGGGATTTAGGGGATTTAGGGTTTAGGGGTTTAGGGGCTTTAAGGGAATTCGGGTCTAGGGGTTTAGGGGCTTTAAGGGACTTAGGGTGTAGGGGTTTAGGGGCTTTAAGGGACTTAGGGTTTAGGGGTTTAGGGTTTAGGGGTTTAGGGGCTTTACGGGAATTAGGGTTTAGGGCTTGAGGGGATTTAAGGGAATTAGGCGGTTGGGGGTTTTGAAGTTTGGGTTTGGGCTGGATCACACAGACTCGAAAAAGGATTTCGGTTACCGCGACCTACCCAGCTACTAAAATATGGAAACCGAAGGTATCTCGGAGGGTCCTCTGCTGTAGGCTTTCCGGCTTGTGGCGGATTGGGCTTCGAATCTGGGACTTGGCATCCTCCATATTCTGAAACAGCCATGTACATGCAGAAAGGCTTCTTGTTACCAGCGTCGCCAGGTGGACACCCGAAAGATACACTCGACAACCTTGCTCAGGAACCCTGTGACAGTCCCGCCAAGACCCTGACACAACCTGCGCATAGTACTCGATACAAGCCTTTTTGATGCCGTACGAAAACAATACATTAATACATACATGAACCCATACATACATACATGCATACAGACATGCATATACAAACATATACATACACATACA